AGGGGGTCCCACTATCTGAGTGTCACCAGCCTAGTCTCATCTCAGCCACCTAATCCAGGCCAAGGAGGGCCATAAAACCCGCCCTTTGCAAACATGAGGCCTCTGGGATCGTTGGTGTGCGGGACCAGCCCCATTCAGGACCGTCTCCCTTCCCCCTCACTGCCGGGACACGGCAGAGGGAGGCTGAGCCGCTTTCCCAGCGCTCGGGGGAAATCGGGGCCAAGCCTGGATGAAAGGTGCTGGGGCCAGGGGACTGGAGACAACTGGGGCCATGGGAGGGAGGAAATCCTGCTGGATTAGAGCAGCTTTCCTGACATCTCACCAGGGTTCAGTGTTGCCTGCTGAGCCAGCAGGATCAGGCCGAGGATGCTGGCGTGGCCTCATTTGAGAGCAGAGCATTTCGGGACTCATTTTGCTTGTGAGGGAACAGAGGGGTGACACTCTGGGTCACATGTAGGTCGGGCCCCGAGGAATGGCTGCGGATGTCCACAAGAAGAAAGGCTGGGAAGTGCCCAACGGGTCTCTGGCACCGGGAGATGGGCAGCACACGGAGCGGTCCGAGAGCCCCACGCCAGGTCTGGCGCAGGGGACGGAGCCAGGTACGGGGCAGAGCTCACCACGGGGGTAAGCAAGGGGAAAAAAAGAAAAAGCAGCTCCTTGTCATGCAGCCTGGGTCCTCCGCAGCCCCACGGACAGGAGGAGGCAGGCCCACTGGCAACTCCCAAGCAGCAGGACCTGCACCCTGGGTGCCAGGGATGGGGAGTGGAGGGCAGGTCCCTCCCTGCAACTCCCTGTCCCATGTGCACCCCCTGTCCGCCCGCTGCCTCAGTGTGGGGGACAGGTGGACGGACCCTACATGGCCCGTTGTTCCCAGGGGCGGGCCAGGAGGGAGCCATGTTCGTGCACACCCGCTCCTACGAGGACTTGACAAGTCCTGAGGACGGGGTGGCCGCAGCGCGGAGCCCGGAGGAGAGGCAGGGGGAGCCGGCCGAGCTGACCAGCATGGAGCAGATCAGCAAGGACTTCAGTGAGCTGAGCACGCAGCTCACGGGCATGGCCCTCGACCTGGAGGAGGAGATGAGGCAGAGCAAGGAGGGGAAGCTGGAGCCATCCCCGCAGACCACCCGCCGTGACTCGGTGTTGTCGGGCAAGGAGGAGGAGGATGTGACCATGGATGCCTGGCGCATGCACCGCAAGCATGTCTTCGTGCTGAGTGAGGCGGGCAAGCCCGTGTACTCCCGCTACGGCTCTGAGGAGGCCCTCTCCAGCACCATGGGTGTCATGATGGCCCTGGTGTCCTTCCTGGAGGCTGAGAAAAATGCCATCCGCTCCATCCACGCAGGTACTGCCCTGGGGGGGAGTGGGATGGGGGGTGTCACAGCCTGCCTGCCTGTGCTTTGCCACTGCAGGCCACATTAGCTGTCCTCAGGGGCAGATTCATTGCTGGGGGGAGAGGCTGCAGCCTCGCTCCCCCTTGCAGCTCTGGGGAGCCAGGCTTACAGCTCTGTTCCCGGTCCCCCTGGGGACTCCCTCCCGAGCAGATGGCTACAAGGTGGTCTTTGTGCGGAGGAGCCCGCTGGTGCTGGTGGCAGTGGCACGGACTCGGCAGTCAGAGCAGGAGATTGCCCATGAGCTGCTCTACATCTACTACCAGATCCTGAGCCTGCTCACGTGGACGCAGCTCAACCACATCTTCCAGCAGAAGCAGAACTATGATCTGCGCAGGCTCCTGGCTGGCTCCGAGCGCATCACTGACAACCTGCTGGACCTCATGGCCCATGACCCCAGCTTCCTCATGGGCGCCGTGCGCTGCCTGCCCCTGGCCGCCAGTGTCCGGGACGCTGTCAGCACCAGCCTCCAGCAGGCCAAGGCCAAGAGCCTGGTCTTCTCCATTCTCCTGTCAGGGAACCAGCTGGTGTCTCTTGTGAGGAAGAAGGATCAGTTCCTCCACCCCATTGACCTCCATCTGCTCTTCAACCTCATCAGCTCTTCTTCCTCCTTCCGGGAGGGTGAAGCCTGGACTCCCATTTGCCTCCCCAAGTTCAACTCCAGTGGCTTCTTCCATGCTCACATCTCCTACTTGGAGCAGGAGATGGACCTGTGCCTCCTCCTGGTCTCCACGGACCGTGAGGACTTCTTCACTGTCTCTGACTGCAAGCGGCGCTTCCAGGAGCGCCTGCGGCGGCGGGGGGTGCAGCACACTCTGCAGGAGGCCCTGCGCACTCCCTTCTACAGCGTCGCCCAGGTGGGCATCCCTGACCTCCGGCACTTCATCTACAAGTCCAAGAGCTCTGGGCTCTTCACCAGGTGAGGTCCCAGGGAACCATCTGGCCAAGGCTGTGGTGTGGGGCATGGGGCAAGCCTTCTCTGAGAATCCCCCTCTCCAGGGGGCTAACAGGGTGCTGTGTTCCTGCAGCCCTGAAATTGAGGCACCCTATGTGCAGGAGGAGGAGAAGGAGAGACTCTTGGGGCTCTACCAATACCTCCACAGCCGGGCTCACAACTCTTCACGCCCCCTGAAGAACATCTACTTCACGGGCCCCCGTGAGAACCTCCTGGCTTGGGTAAGGGCTGTCTGCATAGTTCGAGTGAGCCTGTCTTCTCTGTTCCTGCATGGCAGAGCAGTCGGGGGGGTGGAGCAACCCTGGGGTGGCCCCCAGCCCATGCACGGTCCTTCTGAGGGTCAGCCTGCACCCCTGTGTCAGGGAAGGATGGGCAGGGATAGCAGCGGGGGCCGGCGAGCTCCAGCACCAAGGCTTGTGCCATGTGCTGTTGTGAACTCCCCAGTACTTGGAGAAGACATACTCTGGGGGCAAACTGTGGGGTATGGTCATCCCACTTGTGAGCAAACCAGATGACACCCATTTCGGGTACCCCACTGCCACCTCCTGTCCCTGCACTGGAGCCCCTGTGCCCATTCCCGATAGCCTGTGGAGGGAAGATGCTGTGCCAGTCCCAAGTGGGGTGCAGACATGTTCCCAGCGTGTACCCTGTTTCTTCATGCAGGTAACCAGCGCCTTCGAGCTCTACATATGCTACAGTCCCCTGGGGACCAAGGCCAGCGCCATCAATGCTGTCAACAAGCTCATGAAGTGGATCCGGAAGGAGGAAGACCGACTCTTCATCCTCACGCCCCAGACGTACTGACGGACACTGCCCAGGGCATGGTGCCAGCCGGGGGAGCCCCCGCTGTGCTGGGGAGCCCGTTCCCTGGGGAAGCCTGGGCCATGAGTCCAGGGGAGAGGGTGTGGTGGGACCCCGGAGCATGGGGAGACCCACCCATGGGACTGTCCAACCTGGGGGTTAGAGATAGGGTGCACAGCAGCCAGAGGAAGGGGTGAGCAGGACTTTCATCCGCAGGCAATGCCCCCAGCTGTGGGGGCTGCCCTTCCTCTGCAGCCACCAGACTCCCTCCCCTGTTTTGGGGTTCCTGGAGTGGGGCTACTGATAACCCAGGTTGCTGGAGGGGAGCTGAACCCCTGGGTCCTGCTCCCTGTGCCTGGCACCTTCCTTTCTCTGCCATCCTGTGGCTGTGCCAAGGGTGGAGGTCCTGGGGGAGAATGTAGCAGTGTGTGGGGGATCCCTGTGCTGCTGTGTCCACAGACAGTGGGTGACACCACTGCCATGATTGAGAGATTCAAGTCCTTTCCCACACACCACCCAGGTGGGGGACAGGGATGGCCTGGGGCGTGCACTGCTCTTCTCTCTGCCCTGGGAGAGCAGGGCCCCCCAAGTGCCAGGCAGCCCCTGGCAGTCTCAGAGACCTGCCCCGGCAGGTTTTCCCCCTTGGCATCTGTGTGAGCCCGGACCCTTCCCACCATGGCCATGAGGATGTCCCTGGGGACACTGGTGGGGTCCCATCCACCTTCCCACGGGAACACAGAGCATCCCCAGAGAGACTCGGGGTGCCTGTTGGGGTGCTTGAGGGCTTGTGGTGCTGGCTCCTGCGCAGCAGACTGTAAAGGGGCAGCTCAGGTGCAGCCCCTGGGAGCCCCTGCTGCCTCTGGGCCCTGGTGTCATCCCGTCCCCCCCCCAGCCTAAGGAGGGTCTTCTCCTTGGCACAGGGGAACCTGCCCCCCAAATCCAGCCCCTAGAGCCAGCTCTGCTGAGCTTGCTGCATGGGGGCCATCTCCTCCCTGGCTGTCCCCAGGCACTGATGGGGGGCTGAGGGCCTGTGAATGCTGTGGCATGCCAGACATGGCCTGACCATGCATTTTGGGGCTGTCAGCTGAGCGCTGGGACGGGTGTTCATGGAGGGATGGAGCCACCAGGGTGGCACCGAGGGAGCTGGGAAGGACCCGGCAGAGCTAGCACAGGGACTCTGCTCCTGTATTTATGCTCCTGCCAGAGTGTAATCGCTTGTCTTTGCTCATAAACATTACCTGGACCCTAAGTCAAGTCTCGTCACGTTTATGTGTGTCCGCTTGGG